TGTCCCCCCGTGATACTGCATCCCCGGCCACTGCAGCATCGCTGCCCCTGCATCCCGTGCTGCTGCCCACCCATCCAGCGCTGCTGCCCACCCATCCAGCGCTGCTGCCCACCCATCCAGCGCTGCTGCCCACCCGTCCAGCACTGCTGCCCGGCCACCATGCCCCTGCCACTACATCCCAGCCAGCAGCAGCAAAAGCAGGTCCCTCTCTTGCCACCCTGTCTGCAGAAGAAATGAGCACGGGGCCAGCGAGGTGCTGGGACTCCTCCTCGGCACATGCCCGCATGCCGCTCAGCGTGGGAGATGCTTCGTTCCTCGCTCAGACTGCCGGTGCTCCCACCTCTGCTTTCGGCACGATGCAATGCCGCTGTGGCTGATGGCTCGTTGCTGCTCTTTGCACACTGGATTCAGGGTCCGCTTGACCCCAGCACTGACACTTTAAATTCCATGGGTCCTCCCCTGCCAGGGAATAGGCTTTAATCACCCAAACCCCACTTTGCTCTTCCTCAGGGTAGAGCAGCTGTTTCTCCCCTCTTCTGAGAAGGTGAGCAGCCTGGGGATGGAGAAACAGAACGGAAAAAACCTGAGCAAGCACGGGGAAACAGCCTGCCATGGATTCACCTTCTTCCATGGGTTCAGTGGCCTGTGATTTCAAGGTTGTTCAAAAACAGAGACAGGACTGTACTGGGAAAAAAGTACACACTGTGACTACAGGAACATCAAGGACTCCTGCAATTTCATTTTCTCCCTGTGTATTCAAGAATAAAGTTGAAAAAATTTAGTTGACCTTTGGTTCCTTTTTTTTTTCCCCCAAAAGAATATCACCAACATTACAATGAGAAGATGTTAAAAGTCATTAAAATTCTCACAAGGAAACTTGTAAATTTAAAATCAGCATTAGAGTTCCCACGTGAGGATTTCAGCTCTAGCTGCAGTGGTTTCACCGGGCTGAACTCCATCTGCGTGCTGTAAAACCCTCTCCACTGTGGTTACCCACTGCATGACCAATGGATGGACTTCACTATGGTCCATCAGCAAGCGATCTAGGTACAAACAGTTTGCTCTATAACATGTGCCATCACCTTCATTAGCTAGATAGTAACACAGGCCATCCATCATATAAACGTTAATCATGATAATAAGCACGTGCCCCAGGCACGTTAGGCGTGTCTGCGCATGCCAGGAA